GGAGCTGACGTCACAGCGGCTCGTCACACACTCGGTGTCGCCATGTTGGCAGTAATCGGCAGATCGACCGACTCGCGCTGTACGACTCCATATAACTCCAATAACAGATTGTTCTCCAGACGCAGCCGCGATTCATTTCCAAATTATTTTGCCAAAAATGGCCAATACAAAGAATGAAACACACGAAGATCAGAACAAGAACCAACCTGTGAACATGTGGCTCCAGAGTGAGTCAGAATTGTGGGTGTGTACGTGTGTTCAGGACCTGCACACACAGAGACGACCCGGTGTTCCCCGTGATCACGCAGCAACAGCATTTGTTATTTTAGGCTTTAATTAACTAAATATTTTTATGGTAATAGACAATAGTCTATTCAACTGATTCAACTTTAAAAATGTCCTGTTTGTGTGAGAAATACAGTCACACTAGATCCAAACCAGAGTCCTGAACTATCGGGAGCAGCTTCAGTTCTGTCCGGGTCAGAGGAGCTGGAGCGGGGAGTGACTGTCAAGGAAATTCTGCTCACAAGACAATTCTGTTAAAAAAACACTCAGAACGACCAGAACTAGTTTTATACTTGCACAAGGAGAGTTGCTGGACTGTCTGTCTGCTCCCTGCTCTACTCTGCCCAACAACTCTCCAAGTCTCTTTTACTGAAAATCATGTCACATATGAGCATATTTGATGACATCACAATACATATATTTCACATGTTATTTTATGACTAACAATCGTCAACTGAAGCACCCCCCCATTTCACACTTGATTACATGTCCCAGTGATAGACAATTACGTAGTTTCCCCAAGGCCTTCAGTTTAGCAGATGATGGGACAAACCCTAGTAGATTAGCTTAATCTGTCAGTTGACATGTCATTTATATCAGCTGCTGTTTTCATGTCACATACATCTTGAACCAAAACAGACCCAAAGCAATGTTGATTACACCATGATTAATATTTAAATGATTCACCGTTTAAATGCTTAATAGTTTAATGAAAGAATTACATATATACATGAGTAACACTTTAATGAGACTTTAACCAAAGAAATACATTTATATCATAAAATTAAAAACAGTGACGTCAGGAGCCTCGACCTGAGAAGAACTTTCCCCGAGAAGAACCAAGAGCCCGGAGCCCGGACGCTCAGAACAACATAAACCAACCAAACAGGACTCACGCTTCTGTCCAGATGCTGCATCACCTCGGAACCAGCCGCGGTTCTTGAGCGCTGTCAGGCGGGTTCTCCCAAAAATAACAACTGGAATCGATCGATTAAAAGCAAAAAGAATTTATTCCCTATTCAATACAATTCTAGTACAGAGCTCTGGGTCAGATCGTTGTCCCTAACTGCCCGTGGCTACACAGGTCTTAAATCAGGCAAATCTGACTGCCTCTGGATCCCTGAACCCAGACTTTTCTAGACATCCATATGAACATGCAACAGGTAACGCCTTGAATCCTCCTTGGAGTTTCTCTGCATTCCTTTAGGTTCAGGAGGTTGACAGCAGCCAAATGTAAATCACCCGTTTGTTTGGTTTTGTACCAGGCTGAACCATCTCCACTGCTGCTGCTTCCTCAAAAGGACACAACCCTGCACAAAGATGATCTTAAAAACAAACATGTTTCACACAGTGGTGCCTTTAAACATACAAAAGATTTCAGTGGTTAAACATTAACACAATGTGTAATAATCAAACAAATATATAAATTCAATGTTTAATATGCACATGTGACGCACCCAACAAACTTCACTTCATTTGGTACGGACTTCAAGACCAGACCAAAGACCAGACCAAAGACCAGACCAAAGACCAGACCAAAGACCAGACCAAGACCAGACCAACCAGACCAGACCAGACCAAAGACCAGACCAAAGACCAGACCAAGACCAGACCAAGACCCAGACCAGACCAAAGACCAGACCAAAGACCAGACCAAGACCAGACCAAAGACCAAAGACCAGACCAAAGACCAGACCAAAGACCAGACCAGACCAAGACCAGACCAAAGACCAGACCAAGACCAGACCAAAGACCAAAGACCAAGAAGACCAAAGACCAGACCAAAGACCAGACCAAAGACCAGACCAAAGACCAGACCAAGACCAGACCAAGACCCAGACCAGACCAAAGACCAGACCAAAGACCAGACCAAAGACCAGACCAAGACCAGACCAGACCAAAGACCAGACCAAAGACCAGACCAAAGACCAGACCAGAAGACCAGACCAAGACCAGACCAACCAGACCACCAAAGACCAAGACCAACCAGACCAGACCAGACCAAAAGACCAAAGACCAAAAGACCAAAGACCAGACCAGAACCAAGACCAGACCAAAGACCAGACCAAAAGACCAGACCAAAGACCAGACCAGACCAAAGACCAGACCAAAAAGACCAGACCAAAGACCAAGACCAAAAAGACCAGACCAAAAGACCAAAGACCAGACCAAAGACCAGACCAGAAGACCAGACCAGAAGACCAAAGACCAAAAAGACCAAAGACCAAGACCAGACCACCAGACCAAAGACCAGACCAAGGACCAGAACCAGACCAAGACCAGAAGACCAGACCAAGACCAAAGACCAGACCAAAGACCAGACCAAGACCAGACCAAGGACCAGACCAAGGACCAGACCAAAGACCAGACCAAAGACCAGACCAAAGACCAGACCAAAGACCAGACCAAAGACCAGACCAAAGACCAGACCAAAGACCAGACCAAGACCAGACCAAGACCAGACCAAGACCAGACCAAGGACCAGACCAAGGACCAGACCAAGACCAGACCAAGACCAGACCAAAGACCAGACCAAGGACCAGACCAAAGACCAGACCAAAGACCAGACCAAGACCAAGGACCAGACCAAGGACCAGACCAAGGACCAGACCAAAGACCAGACCAAAGACCAGACCAAGGACCAGACCAAGACCAGACCAAGACCAAAGGACCAGACCAAAGACCAGCAGACCAAAGACCAGACCAGACCAAAGACCAGACCAAGACCAGACCAAAGACCAAAAGACCAAGACCAGACCAAAGACCAGACCAAGACCAGACCAAGACCAGACCAGACCAGAAGACCAGACCAAAGACCAGACCAAAGACCAGACCAAGACCAGACCAAGGACCAGACCAAAGACCAGACCAAAGACCAGACCAGACCAGAAAGGACCAGACCAAAGAAAGACCAGACCAACCAGACCAAGACCAGACCAAAGACCAGACCAAGGACCAGACCAAGACCAGACCAAGCCCCCCGTCCTGAGGGTCTGAGCTGTGGTGATGTTCCTCTTTGTCTCTGTTTCTGCTGCTGTTTCCCTCAGATCTTCTGCTCCGGGCTGATGTTTGTACAAAGTTCTACACGTTGCTGTTTTATGAGTTCATGACGACACTTGAGATGAGGACGGCCCCGTGGTCTGAACAGGAAACATCGGTGTTGATAATTGGAGGCATCGTTGTTCTACCGGGAAACAGAGGCACGATAATCCGACCAATTTTGGTTCGTTTGTCAGTGAACTGCAGATCTGGGACTTCATCTTCAGCGGAAATATTTTAAAAAAACACCCCGGGGTATTATACGGGTCGGTAATGTTTAATCGATTTAATTTTGTGATAAAAAGCTCAGTGTCTTGTGAATTAAAATGAGCTGAGTACTGAGATGGTTTGAAAGCTTCGGCAGTGGCGCTGTCCATTTTTACTGCCAAAATGGCGGCCGGCCCACTGTGAGTCATGTGGGGTGACTCATGGTTGGGGTCTATTCTCATAAAAGTAAATCTCTGCTCCTGACAGTCTGTGCTCAGGGTCTTCTCATCAACACTTAAATACTATAAAACAATAAAATAATTAAACTTTTATCATATTTTTCTTGTTTTCATTAAAGTAAATGTTTGTGCCTGACAGTCTGTGCTCAGGGTCTTCTCATCCATTCTATTCAATTCAATCTTTATTAAGAACACATAATATCTGGTTCATAGTATTAAAAAGAAAGAAAAGAAAAAACACTTTAATATTATAACACAGTAAAAAAAAAAAAAAAAAAAAAAAAAAAAAGGATCGTCTTTTCTTGTTGTTCTCATAAAAGTAAATCTCTGCGCCTGACAGTCTGTGTTCAGGGTTTACTAATCAACACTTAAATACTATAAAACTGTAAAATAATTAAACTTTAATCGTATTTCTCTCGCTATTCCCATAAAAGTAAATCTTTGTGTCTGACAGTCTGCGCTCAGGGTCCTTTAATGAACGCCTAAATATTATAAAACAGTAAAATAATTAAACTTTTATTGTATTTTTCTTGTTATTTCAATAAAAGTAAATCTCTGCGCCTGAGAGTCTGTGCTTAGGGTTTACTAATGAACACCTAAATATTATAAAACAATAAATTAATGAAAGTTTTATCGTATTTTTCTTGATGTTCCCTTTAAAGTAAATCTCTGTGCCTGAAAGTCTGTGCTCAGGGCTTTCTCATCAACACTTAAATACTATAAAACAGTAAAATAATTAAACTTTTATCATATTTTTCTCGCTATTCCCATAAAAGTAAATCTCTGCGCCTGACAGTCTGTGCTCAGGGTCTTCTCGTCAACACTTAAGTTTAATTAATTTACTGTTTTATAATATTTATCACATTTTTCTCTCTATTCCCTTAAAATTGAATCTGTGTGCCTGACAGTCAGTGTTTAGGGTTTACTAATCAACACTTACGTAGTATTAAACAATAAAATAATTAAACTTTTATTGTATTTTTCTTGTTATTCCTTTTAAAGTAAATCTCTGCGCCTGACAGTCTGTGTTCAGGGTTTACTAATCAACACTTACGTAGTATAAAACAATAAAATAATTAAACTTTTATCTTATTTCTTTCGCTATTCCCATAAAAGTAAATCTCTGCGCCTGACAG